CGTTTGTGTTCCTCATATTAAACAAGGGAGTGTTCTGTGGCAATCTATAGGGAATAATGTTTGCACACTTCTTAAGAGGAGGATGTGGAGATAACACTGCTGACCTTTCTGTTCTGCATCTGAGCTCAGTTCAGCTTCCTTTGAATTCAACGGAATCTTGTTGACTTCAGTGGAAGTTGGATCAGGTCCTAGTTGGGTTCTAAAGTCCTAGGCTGTTTGCTTATGTATGCTTATGTTATGCTTTGTGACAGCTTGAAGGTGCCCATAATGAAAAGTGTTTCACGTAAGGTTTCATGCATTTTTTCCCAATGTCATACGTACAAGTGAGCTGCACCTAAAATGTGCTGCATCCCAGGGAGCATTCCAGGAAATAGAAAGGCAGCATATTTTTAAAAGATAAAAATGGCTTATCACACAATACATTATTAGCCTGTGGAACACATTGCCACAAGATACTGCAGAGGCCAAGAGTTTAGCCTGTTTCAAAAAATGGGTTGTCACTTATATGGATGACACATAAACCCTGATGTTACAGGGCATAAACCAGTCACTAACTAAAGGGAGCTAGGAAGACTTACCCTGTAACTATCTACTACAGGGTTTCTTGTACCTTCTTCTAAGTGTCTGATACTGGCCACTGTTAGAAACAGGATCCTGGCCTTGAGGGACCACTGTTTTGATCTTTCTGGGCAATTTTTATGCTCTTATACTACTTATTCAGTATTTTTACAACACCTAAAAGTGTTCTAGGTATTTTATAGAACAAATAAGAACCAAGTGCATTATTTTAGACATGATGCCAAACTCGGGCATCATAATCAGTAGACCGGGAGCGGGCTGGGAAAGGATAGGGTTTACAGCAGTAAGCCTAACCAGGTAACTAGCTTTTAAGCATATATATTTCTAGATGGCTCTTTAAGTATTTCTTCATTATAGACTTGTTTCTTGTGAGCATCGTGGAAGAAGTATATCTTGAGGTATATGACAAAAAAGAGACTAAAGGGTGGATGGACTAGAGTTGGAGGGCGTGTCACAGATAGGAGGAGAGGGGTGGAATTCTGATTTTTGACATATGTTGCTCCCTGAGAACAACCTCATGTAACAATACAAAAGCAGCATAGCACCCTTGCATATATCATTCAAGTTCTCACTAGGCTACACTGTCTGCACAGAGTGCTAACACAAGGCAGTGTATGGAATTTAGCTTTGCTAACAATTCTGGAGTAAATTATGCCTCAGGAAAATATTTTTTTCTTCCAATCTGTGTGTGGAAACAAGGGATGGTGGGTGGCTAACACTATTGCTCAGGTAGACTGCAGAGGGAGGGGAAAAAAGTAGGAGTTTCAGAAAGAAGAGGATATAGAGCAGTGGCTCTGAACCTTTCCAGACTACTGTACCCCTTTCAGGAGTCTGATTTGTCTTATGTGCCCCCAAGTTACACCTCACTTAAACTATTGCTTACAAAATCAGACATAAAAATACAAATGTGCCATAGCACACTAGTACTGAAAAATGGCTTACTTTCTCATTTTTACCAATAACTCTAAAATCAATTGGAATATAAATATTGTACTTACATTTCAGTGTATAGTATATACAGCAGTAAAATCAAGTTTGTATGAAACTCTAATTTGTACTGACTTCACTGGTGCTTTTTATGTAGCCTGGTGTAAAACTAGGCAAACATCTAGATGAGTTGATATACCCCCAGAAGACCTCTGTGTACTCACAGAGGTACACGTACCTTTGGTTGAGAACCATTGATATAGAGAATATAGGAAGATGTGACAATAATAGTACCAGAAATTATTTCAGTCAATGCAGCGGGCAGCCAACTATCACCAAAGAATAACGCACATCAGTATAGAATGTTTCAAGCCCAGAGAACTCTATAATCTTGAACTGACCAGAATTATATATGTAGTTTATTCATGCACTGGTGAAGAGGAGCAGTTTTTTAGCAGTGCAAAACAATTACCCCACAACAGTTTAGAATATGAAATGACCCTAAATATATTATCACACTCGTTTTAATTCTTCCAAGAATTTGTATATTAGCAGGATTGGCTTTGGGGGTTTATTTGGGTGGCTTTAGAACAGTGTTCCTCAACCTTTTTGATACCTGGAAACAGCTTGCTGCCTTCCTAAACTGTCAGGGAGATCTCAGGGACCAGCACCTGTCCACAGACGGGTTGTTGCGAAACACTGCTTTAGTCCACAAGAGCTGAGGTAATATTAATGGGGGAAGTTTTTGGTCTTAACTGTAGAGACAGATCGTTGTTTACATTATTAGTGGATGTAGCATATAGCAATTTAACATGTAGACCTGTGCTGTGCAGTCATTTTTAAGAGTGAATTTAGCTTTCATGAAGGATATACCAGAATGTAGTTTCTTATAGAGGGATAAGAGAGAAGACCAGAAGGCTGAGTAACTTTTCCCAGTGAGAGGACTCTGAACTTCATCATATAGTACTGTCTACTTGTATTCAGGGGGAGTTTACCTAACCAATAACTACATCGCTTCTCCTCAGTTTCATCAGTAGTTGGCAGTGTACCAGAATTAGTGGGGTATACAGAGGTTCCTTGATGGTCAGATATCAATATCCATAGATCAAACACAGGAGTTAGCTTTACACTATGCTTACATCTGGATGCTCGTTTCCTCAAATATTTTTAACATTCCCAATAAAGAAACCTAAATAACTAGATGTACAGATGTCCCTTAAGATGACTAAATATGACAATGAGGACATGTGTATCAGAATGGGAATTAGTATGTTACCTGCAGGGTCAACCCAAAGAGAGTAGGAGGCTAAAGCATCACTCCCTAAACTACAAGGTTGTGTCTACACTAGCCAACTCCAAAACTCTAACTCGTCACCCCTGAAAGCCATAGTAGGATTAGATGACAGTGGTAAAAAACTTGAACTCCATCTACTTTGATTTCCACTGCTGGTGAGTTACAGCCATGACATCTGTTAGTCCCAAAGAAGAGCATAAGTGCCAGGATGAGAAGAGAAGGGTTAGTGACCGATGTTGAGGCTGGGAACGTAAGAGGTACATAGTGCCTTGAAGCCTTTATTTTAAAAAGAGAATTTAGCTGTTATCTTTAAAAACAACCCTGTGGTTTGTTTGTTTTTTGGTCAGACTTCACTCTACATGACCATGACAAATCTAAGTATAAGACTTTGTCTGTCTTCCATCGTATCATGCACATAGTTTCATCTGTTAGATCCTTGACCTAAGTGCAGGGGGGTGCACAGAATTTGGAGGCTTAGAAGGGGGAAAAACCCTCCATGTCCAGTACTACCCTGTTCCAGCTTTGCCTCTGTAAACGGTTGGGAATAGTCATTAAAAGGGAGCAAGTAGTCTCAGGGCATTTATAAAGAAGCCAACATTGGCTTTAGGACCCAAGGCCAATTTCATGGGCTCCTTGGTGGTGAGGAAGCAGGTGCTTTTGGTGGTTCCAGGCATTGTCTTTCTGAGAACAAGGCAGGATGGTAAATGTTGTCCAACATGGCAGCCACTGTTAGTATCCCTAGTTTCTGGCAACATGTGATGGAGAAAGGCATAGGAGTATAAATACTGTAGTACCTTTGCACAAGATGGAGAGACCACCTTCTTAGCATATGCACAACATGCCTCAGGGTGGCACATGACCAGGATTCATCTCTGAATTTGGTCCATTGGTTGGATCACTAGCTTCCTTGGCTTGGGCTGGGTACTGACGGGGAGTGTGACGGGAACGCTGATCCATGCCCCGCAGAGAGACCCTAAGAAAGCCAGATGGTGCTGGGACTCTCTCCTGGACGGTACGTGCATGTAAATCTACTTTGTTTTTACAATCCTTGTTTTGTAGTGACTCAAGTGCAAAATATGTCAGTAGAACAACAAACAGAATGTGGGTATACTGTATATTCCTGTCTTTTTAGCAGGTTGAAATAAAGACCCCCAAACAAAGAAACTCTGCTTACAAATTCCAAGGATGCACTTCTTGTGTGTGTCTGGCTTGCAAACAGCTGTTTGAAAGAATTACCAGAGGGATTTCTAAGTGCTACTAGAAGAAACAAACTGAAGTAAAATTTTGGCCTTAATCATGCCACAATTTTCAGAAGTCATTAGTAATTCTGGGTGCCTCCATTTTTAGGTGCCTAACTTTAAGGTGTTAAGTTAGGCATCTACAATCACTACTGAAATTCTTAGTTTCAGTGTTTGCAGGACAGACAGACCTCAAGGTAACTAGAGTTAGGAGGTTCCACTGGACTTACGTAGAATAATTTAGAACTGTTTTAGATGCAGTAGATCAATTGAACATGTTTTCAACCCTACCCATAGCAATACTTTTCTATATAAATGTTTTTAGATAGTGATAATTACATGCTTAAACATGTTTCAATCCACAAAAGTCTCTTGACAAGTGTAAAGTGCCATTGATTGGTTTATAAAAAGAGAACAAACTCTACCATTGTAATTCAGAGAAGCAGAGTAAAACAGAGTTTAATCTTGAAACTCCCCAAACTGCAATGTTTTCCCCACTTCCATGTTACAATTTTGATTCCAAAGTAATTTTCTCCCGGAAATTAGCTGTTACTTAACTTCATATTTCACCCCTCCCATAAATTTATTCTCCTTTCTTTGTTAGGGTCTATCCACAGCACTTTGGGTACACCTCACACTGTAAGCTGTATGTACTACCTAGATAAGGATTAGTATAGCACCATTACAATCAAATGACACTTTACAAACAGATTAGTCAGACTCATACTTGCTTACCATAGTGATGACTTCAAACTATGACGCCCACAATGCTTTCTACTAGCAGTAGAACCTGACTAACTAGAATCTCTCAACCCAAGTAAGTTTCAAGTTCTAAACTGCTGGTAGTGTTGTGTAGAGTGCTACTGAGCAGAAGAGGCAGTCGGGCTAAGTGATAATCAGTTTCTGCCACTGGGGATGCTGTACAGAGCAAGACTTAAGGAGAACCATTTCCCTCAATGTGTTATGCATGTCACAGGCATTAGTTAAGGGTGACAACAAAATTTATTTGAAAAAATTATGTATAGAAAATATACATTAGAATGATCATCACTCCACCTCTTGGGTCTAGCACTCCCCTCTCCCAACACGAGTAGCTATAATTTGCTGCTATGCCACTGCTGTTTTAAAAAATATCAGTCTCCTTTCTCCATACACAAATTCATATTGATACTTCTAACAACTTTACCACCAGAAAAAAAGGGAAATCTGTCTACATCAATAGGTATTCAACAAGTCCCAATCTTCCATGGTCAGGCACGTGTGCTTCTGCTTTGAAGTTCGTTCTCTCTCTTGTTCAGTTAAACCTTTCTCTTTATTTTTCTTTAATTGGTGGCTAGCTGCAGCCTCCTTTTTCAATAAAGGGAAATGGCAGTTTTGTACTTTATCCTTATAGAACTGCAAGTTTTCAGAAGCTTTTGCTTTAATCTGCACCAATGTACACTTGACTGGTTCTTCTATCCTGCGTCGCTTTCCATCTACAAAAAAACCCAAAACACAGAGTTAAGCCTGCTCTCCAATGCAATATTGGCACAAAAGCTATTCATCATTTGTTAAGCCATGTTTAGTACAGCTACAAAGCCTTAATATTTAGAAATAAAATCAATTTTTCAATATTTGGCTGTATTTAATCAATACAACACATAAGATTGTTTTATATTACTCATGAATTTTTGTTGGGAGATGTGCTAATCATATTACGAAGGGAGGATTTTGTGCTTAACTTAATCACTTTATACAAAGGCAGATGACCAAGCTGAAAATGACCTGGGTCACCAGATTCCAGCTGCCTCAAGAACTAACCCAAAACCCACTGAGGCCAACAGACTCCCATTGGTTTCAACGCGCTTAAGCTGTCAGTGAATTGGATTTACCTATGTCATATTGCATCAGATGAAAAAAATCTATTCACTAAAAGCAAGGTCAATCACTTTTTAG